TGGTGCCTGCTATTGGTAAAATTAACAATATCAACTAAAGTTGGCCAAGGGTTATCACGATATTAAACTTAATTGATGAGAAACTAGATGATTTCCTAAAAAAAATTCTGTAAACCCATTTTGAGGTAATTAAAAACATTTTTTAAAAAAATACCAAACTTTATGGTTTGTGGGGAACTTGACAGATCTCCCTTAATAATGATAATGTTTCAGTCTGAATTATTTCTTTTGGGGTTTTTAAATAACAATTCTCAGAGTTCAAAAATTGTATGCAAAATTTTTTTAAATAATTTTTTATTAAAAATCCATGTGATTTTGTTATTTAAAAAAAAAATGAATGTGGATTCACTTCTTTGTGGCATAAAAAAGTCCACTAACTCCTTAAAATGGCTCTGCATGTCCCTATATATACCAATTAACTGACAAAGTCCCAAGATTCCATTTTAAACCTCAATATAAAGAAGAGACATATTGCTTTCATTTCCCATGAAAAAGTTTCCTTTGAGGGTTCAGGTATTGCAAAATAGGCTTTGTGAAATTACAATATTCCTGAATTTTGAAGAAAATGGACGAATTTGAGCATCTTCAGTTAATAATTGAGATGCATCATCCATGCAAGTTAAGTCACCATAAGGCTTCTAGGGTTGGGCAGTAATACCTATATTCTCGTGTATAGCTGTACGTTGACAAAAATTATCCTATTGCAATGAAAGAAGAAGTGAGCAAGCTCACATACCCCACCCTCCCCCAAAACTCCACAATGCAACACATAATGAATGGCACAGTGCATTTTAAATACACAGTATAATTTAAAAAGGGGCATTACTTGCAAAAAATCATCACACCAAAACTTCTTGCATTTAAGGACATTCAAATCTTTGTATGTTACAAATTTAATTGGGCTGAAGTTTCTAGATAAATAATGGAATCAAAATTTCTTGGTAATATACAAATCTATAAATACCTACAAAGTTTCAGGAAATTCAGTACAGGAGTTATGCTAACAAACTGTTATTTAAATTCCTCAGTGATTTCGATTTGTTAATGAGTGTAAGTCTGTGTCCAACACATGACAATTTACACATTTATATAATTGATGGAAACAAAATTATGATGTAGTCATATGAATTTGTTTATATACTGTACTTATGAAATTATTTAGGCAAAGCACCAATTTGAGGGGTGGGGGTGGGGGGTGAGAACTATCCAAGATTGTGTGTGTGTGTGTTAAATCAATAATATTTTGATCTCAAAATCAATAGGGGTCTTTTAAGGTCATAAAATATTTCACATAAAATTTCATTACAAAAGCTGATTCCAAGGGATTTCCTTATTACCTGGCTGGAAAGTTTCTTCAATAATAGGCAAAACTCTTATGGCAAAAATAATGGAATCGGAATTTCCTGGTAATAAGCATATCTACACACTGTGTACTAAATATCTGCAAAGTTTAATCAAATTCTGTGCAGCGGTATAAGAGGAGTTGCACTAACAAACTGTTCATTTCTATATTCAAGATATGGCCAAAAATCTAAGTTGAAAAGTGCCAAAATTCCCAGAAAAATAAAGGAATCGAAATTTCCTGGTTAATATGCACATCTACATTCTGTGTACTAAATATCTACAAAGTTTGACGAAATTCTGTGCAGCGGTTTATGAGGAGTTGTGCTGACAAAAAAAAAAAACAAAAAACCAGGACTGACAGACTGACTGACTGACTGACTGACTGACGGACGGGTCAAAAACATTATACCTCATGCAACTTGTTGCGTGGGGTGTAAATTTTTTTTTTACTTTAAGTTTTTATGACCCTTCATGTACGAGTTATATTTTTTATGTATAAAGTTTTGTAAGTTATAGTCATCATACTGCAAAAAATTTAGGATGATTTATTGTTGCATTTTCTTTGTTCAGGTAAATAACAACTGACATTGAAATTAAATTTGTATATACTTTTTCATTATAGCAGATAATTAACACAGATGAATTGACAATTTGTCTGAAATTGTGAGTGAATAATTCTAAGCAATCAGATTGGCTGAAATTTTTTCATGACCATAATACATACAAGGGTCATTACCTTGTATACCGTGAATGGCATATAATTCACATATACTGGTAAACCTCGGAAAGACTTACATGTATCTAACTTACAAATGCATTACAAATGCATGTATGAACCATATTTATAGATTTATTAAGTTTGAATGAGGTGTCATTGGTGTACCCTTGGGGTCCTTTGAATCCTAAAAAAAAATGTTTTGTGTATTGAAATAAACAATAAACAGATAATGATGTAATTAAAAAATGCACATAAACCATATTTACATTTATGAAAGCTGAATTGGATGTCAGTTATAATGGCTCATTATTGGGGTACTTAAGGGTATTCTTCAGATACCTAGGGTTTCCTTGGTATCCTTTTTTGTGTATTAAAATATGCAATAAACAGTTACTATGTTATTTACAAAAGCATAAAACCATTTTTAGATTTATAAAGGTCCAACTGGGTGTCCTTGGGGTATTTTGGGATATTCTTCGGGTTACCCTGGGATGTCCTTGTGGTAACTTAAGGCTATCCTTTGGTTCTTTAAGCGAGTATCCTTTTGATTTGTGTATTGAAGTATATACAATAAACAGTTACTGTGTCATTTACAAGTGCAAATATAAACCATATTTACATGTACATTTATTAATGTTGAATTGGGTGTCCTAGGGTACACTGGGATTTTCTTGTGGTACCTTAAGAGTATTATTTGGTTTTATGTGATGCCCTTTGGTTTTGTGTATTGAAATACACAAATCATAGTTAAAACATGATTATTCATTTACACCATATAAAATATTAAAGTTCTTCAAAACTAAACATGCATAATTGAGCTTAATTGTTTAATTAATTAATATTACCTATAAATTTTTAACTTGGGTAACTCCTCTATATTTAAGACAATTAATTTAAAAGTGTTAATTTGTCTTTCAAAAACATTTTTTTTTTCTAATTTACAAGTGCATATAAACCATATTTAGAATAATTAAAGTTGTATATGGTGTCCCTGGGGTACCTTGTGGTATCCCTGAGGTTCCTTGTAATTCCTTGTGGTATCCTTGTGGTTCCTTGTGGTACCTTGTGGTTCCTTGTGGTAAAAAGACATACCCACATGTATACAATAGTTTGTACATTATGGTGTGTAACTTAAGAATATAAGGACTAAAAATTTGATAAATTTATAATTTCATAAAACACCTCCTTTTTACCCCCCCCCCCCCCCCCCCCCATCGGAAAAATTTCTGGATTTTCCCTGATACATGTGAAAGTGTAAATTGAAAGGAAAAAATAAGAGAGGAAACAAATTAAGCTTTAAATACAAACCAATGGCTACTTTGAAGTTAATGTAAAAAGCACTCTTGATATTCCTCTTTCCAGCTGACACTTGATTTGAATGGCCACATTATTTCCGCAGAGAATGCTGAATACACTGCCTTAGCCTACTCCATATTTTGCTTCACCTGTAGTATTTAATATTTCTTTTAGTATTTATGATATCTGTTTATAATCAGGGCCCTTTTGAGCATTCAACAAATACATACATAATTTATTACATGTGCATAATTATTACATAAACTTGCATTTATCATGTTTATTTAAAAATCTTTTGAATACAGCACCATTTAAACTGTAATTTATCATCTATGTATATGGTTCATAAGTTAACATGTAAAATACATGTACTTAAATAATATACAATGTTAAGTATTAAACAGATCCAGTACAATCAGTAGGTAGAATTACCTACAGAAGGTTACTGTAACTTTATTTTGCTACTTTGGGTAGCTTTATTTAGCTATTTCAATGCAACTTTTTACAAATTTGCTTTTTTATTTCAAAAAGACAAAAGATCTAGAATTGCAAGTAAATGTCCACTATTATTTATACAAGGGATTAATATTTAAAAAGCGACCCAAAGCAGAGAAAGTTTACACATTTCTGTGTTTGAACGCTTTAAGCAAAATATGTATTTCTATTGTTTTAGTAACTATACACAACCTGGTGTGCGTTTAGGCACAGAAAAGTATGATTACTTCACATTGTGCTAAATAATTACCAATCCGGCCTTTATCATGTTCACCAGAAATGTTTGGTCTTGTTATTTCATTCAAGAAGCAAGAGTCTGGTCATAAAATAAGTTTGACTTTGTAGCTAAATAAAACTACTTTAGTTAGGTAAATAAACCTATGTAGGTAATTCAAGCTACGTAGCTAAATCTAGTGATTGTACCAGACCTGTACAGCTGTACGTTAAACAATTGTTAAACAAACATGCACCATAGTCGTAATATTCACCTGATGTATCTGAAACGGACACTGCAAGCAAAACATTTGTTCTGCAAAAATTTTTACTTCTTCCATCATACCAATTAACATCTGCAGGGTCATGGCCTTTCATCAGTTAATGTCTATATTCAAAACCACATCAGACACCGACACCGGCATTCACGTGGTGCTGCAGTCGACAAGGAGTAGTTTCACCAAAATTATGTTCATGGTCGGTTTCAGTCTCATTTTTCATTTCGATTCTTATTAAGGTGCTTCAATTTCGAGGACCGTCAAGATTAAATATGTATGGAAACTTTGTCTTTTAAACGAGGAAATATTTTCTCGACTGCTTCGTCGGCCATCTTGTAGCATAGACAATAATGTGTAAATGAAGATTATTATTTGGCGGCGTTGCGGAATCCGGAAAAACAGCACGTGCTAATATGCGGATTCTATCTATCACGTGATTGCTATCCGTCTCTACCTTAAATCAAAATTTAATTACACCAATTGCCGTGGATTTCAACTTTTATAGCTGAAAATTAACTGATATTTTCATCAAAAGTTTTAACCTAAAATCAGATTCGTGATAGACTTAAACAATCATGTTGTACCGTTCTTTACCCAATATCAGAAAACAAACATTAGGTCAAATTCTTGTTTATTTACAAAAATAATAAGTCCTATTAAAGCATTATTTCCATAACATTGCCTTATGGCAGTGGGTATATCGAAATTGTTGTAAAAATGTGTGGACAATATTCTCTTTTACCAAGTACACTGGTATATGTCCTTCATGTTATAAATCCTGAATTGGTTCTTTTATAGTAGAATGACTGACACAGTAGATGGTTCTTATTTATTTTATGCATACATGAGACAGGGATAATAAACTCGCTCTGTTCATCAAAATTTCTAAAAAATTAAATGATACACATTTTGTTCAAGAAAGAATCAAGTAGAACATTGGTAATTCAGATTTACCATAAAAAATAAATTACAAAAAATGAACAACTTTATATAAATTTAAATAAATTTTTAATACACTGATTTTCATTTTTCTTTTTCATGAGAATAACACAAAAAGAAAAATAACTTTGAATGACTCACTTTTCAATAAATTCATTTATATTATAATTTTATCGAAAGTAACATTTGATAGCGCACCAAAGCTATCTAAACTTTCACATCATCTTGCATACCATAATTAAAAGCTTGATTACAACCATAAGGTCTAATTTTAACACATACACTGTAGTAAACACACAGTCAGGACATTGAATTAAAGTCAATGCATCTTTTCTTACACTTAATGAAATATCAGGATAAATAAAATCACACGGTCTGAATAAATTCCCTTCTCAGTAATTAATTAAAAATCATGAGTCTGAACTCAAGATGTGCTAAATCAAAGTCCTATCTCTGAGTTCAATTCACACTCATCGGACCAAATCATTAGAACGACAGCGTTTTCCTTCGATTTACTTCAAATCCAAAGTCACCACTTCATTAAGTTCAGTCCTTATGGCTCCTCCTCGGTTTTACTATAAAATTATTGGGTTTTCAGAGTTCATCTTCATATTTTTTCCCCCAAAATCTTAAGGACATATGATACAAACAAAAAATGGATGCCTAGATTGACATATATTTTTGGACCTATTCTAATTGTAAATGATGCAAATATTAAATTTAAAACATAAAGAAATTGTAAACTTTCTCTACTTTTTGCCGTCACCCTTATAAATCCGAACATTTTTTTTATCACTTTGTTGGACATTACTGTGAAAAACTTGAATGAAAAATTAAAATCTATGCGGTTAGAATTATTCATTTTGCTTTTAAAACATATATAAACATGGTAAAGTTATGTTAATGACTTTTGAAAAAAAAAGTTTGTTTGTACTTGAATGCCTAGGCCCGAGATGATCCAAAAATAGATCTGTCCTGAATGTCCCGTAGTTTTTATTATGTTCAAGTGTTTGAGTTTATTGAATTCATCTAAGTTTTGGCCCCAAAACCATAAACTGAGAAAAGACTAAAGTCGAAATTTCAAATCAATATAACTTTTAAAATAATAATCATAAGGAAACAAAATGTTCATCATATATTTAAATTAGAATATTACACAAACTTGCAAATTTTTATGTACAAAAAACTCAAGATAGTCAAAATCAAAATTTTGACCTAAGTCTATTCTCAGTTTATGGTTTTGAGGCTTGAGCTCATATAATGCTCAAAATCATAAATATTCAAGCTACAATTCATACATGTCTTAGTTCCAGTAATTTCTCATACATTGACATATCAAAACAATCAAAATTGCACTCGGTATAACATTTATACGAGTAACGAATAGACCAGGAACCCAGACCAATGGAAATTGCTGAAAATGTATATTTAGCAGTCTTTCCTGCGATTCTCTTTACACGGTTGACGAAAGGTTCCTCAATGATTACTTGAGTGGATGCGGACACAGTCCCCGTATTTTCGGATCCTACCGATTTATCATCGAACACTGGTTTCGTGTAAACACTGGTATCTGATCGCGATTTCCTTGCCTCTGATTCGCTACTCCGAGAGGACGTCACAAACTCAATGACGTCATTGGAGCCAGACGCAATTGCTTCATCCTCACTCAAGGCTGAATCATCACTTTCCTCTACAAATACCATTGTGTTTTCAATTTCTGGTCTCTCATAAAATGAAAGCCTTTTCAGCCGAGAGAACATCCCACTCCGAGCGGAAGGACGTGAGGAGACTACTTCCCGGGGACCTTTAACTTTCGACCTCTTAGTCTTGTTCTGACCAGAAACACCCCATCTGTCATCATCATTGGACGTTGAAGCTACCTGATTATTTGTTTCATCGCTTGTGCTGCTTTCATGTTGACCACGAGGTAATAATCGTCCTTCTGGCGAAAATTTGACCCCAACATCTCCTATTGCGAGCGATAACTTAGGACCGCCTATATTTATATTCTGACCTCTTGTTTTTGGAAGACTATAGTATTCATAAGATGGTGAAGTATCACTCTCGTAGTCTTGTGCGTCGTACTTTTTCCTCGATTTCAAACTGTGTTTCTCCCTTTTAAGACGTGGTGAAAGAGTTGAACTGGATTCTGTAACTTCTATATTATTTTCAGAGTCGGAAACCTTTGCATCAGAAGACGACACTTCACTTTCGTCTATATATTTTGTACTTTTCAGTCTATGTATTCTTTTCTGTTTACAGGGAGACAACTTTGGTTCACTGAATTCAGTATTGTCCCCTGTGTTTTCGACATCTGTAACAGAAAAGGAAACTTCTGCATGACGTCGAAGTGGTTTTACAAAAGTCCCGGTATCTTCCGAATCTGATTCTTTGAAACGCTTGAAGTCCCGCTGATCTGAATACGATTGAGACTCTGAGGAGGTTTCCGGTGATCGACTGTCTTCATCTTCTTCCAATCTCCCGTCATATGGTAAACGTCTCTCCTCATTAAGCCTAGGTCTACATGATCTTCTCATGCTTCTCATTAAATGTAATATTCGTGAATTTCCAGCCGGCATCGGGCTACCACTGTCTTCCGAATCGTTTGAAACACTGTGGAATTCATTATACTTCGATTCAATGTGGAGAGCCTCCGAGGAGTCATCGTTCGTGTCGGTTGTCCCGTTGTTGATATTCATATTTGTCATGTCCTTGGCTTTCTGTAGCAGCCCCTGGAAGACTTGTCCTCCAAGCTGCTTGACGTGCCCCCCTAACTGGTCACCTAGCTCTCCCACTTTACCTTGTAATGCTTTGACCATCTGATCTTTGACGTCATCAACCCCTCCGGACGCCCCCTTTTCTCCCTTTCCAGACGATTTTCCTTCCTTTGCTTTTGCTTCACTTATGACAACTTCTTTCTTCTCAGACAATTGTCCATCTTTTATTGTGCCTCCAGATTGATTAACTTGTTCATTTCCACTCTGAGTTTTTCTCTCTCCACTGGGCCCCGTCTTTTCTGACTTTTCCGACTTTCCACCTGCTACAGACTGCCTCTCGTCAGAGCCATCTTTTTCATCCTTACCGCCTTTGATGGCTCTGTGTTTAGAAACTTTTTTTCCGCTCCTACAAAAAACACAGAAATGATGTAAACTCTAAAGGTATTCATTCATATCTAATATATATACCCTCTTCACACTCAGGCTCGTAGAACGCTTAGAATGTCGTAGAACCTACCACTTTTTCTGAGTATAGTAATTTTTAATTAGATGCTGGTTGCCCCCTCCCCCAAACACTGTAAGATCGAGCACTGGCAAATTCCAGGATTTGCTTTTTGCTTGTGAGGTTATTTTTGGCAGTGCCCCCCTCCTTTTTGAACAGTTTATTAGCTCTTTCTGAGCCAAAGGCTCAAAGAGCTAATGCTATGGCCATTTGTGCGCTGTGCGGTGTGCGTAAACATTTTAGAATGTAGGCCATAACTCAAAAACCCTCTTGGCCAATTACTGTCAAATTTTTCACAGGGTATCCTTGGCCCAAGGGCTCCCGTTTATACTAAAACTAGGGTTGTGACCCTTAAAGAAGGGGAGATAATTAGGTAAATAAAACCAAAAGTACTAGTTGCTAAAAAATCTTCTCAAGAACCACTAAGCAGATTATCACCAAACTGACACAAAAGGATGAGGATATGTTGAAGATTAAAAATTGTTCAAGGCATTACTCTGGGGCAAAGGGCGTGGTCTCAAGGTCACTTCAAAATTGACCAAAATCACATTTAATTAAGATGTTGATATTTTGCTTAAAATAAGGACTAGGACCATCAAATCTTATCAGTTGATGCATCTAAGGACCTCATATCATGTTGACTCAAAAATAGGTCACGAAGACCTACTTTTTAAATTTTGCGGTCATTCTTTTTCAAAATGATTTATATAGAAGAATATTTTGAAATATTTAGGGCCTATGATCATAAAACTTTGTCAGTTGATGCATCTTGGGTCCTCGTAGTACGTCAACTAAAAAGTAGGTCACCTTGACATACTTTTGAATTTTATGGCTATATCTTTTTCAAAACGTTTAAGGTCATCAATTCGAATACTGAGAGGTTTAGAATCATTAAATCTTGTAAGATGATGCATCTTGGGGCCATAAAACATATTTATTAAAAAGTAGGTCATAGTGACCTACTTTTTTGAACTTTGCAGGCATTCGAGTTCAAAGCGTGTTAGAGGTATATTTTGGAAATTTTAAGGCCTATGATCATAAAACTTTGTAAGTTGCTGCATCTTGGGTCCTCAAAAAAGTAAACTGACAACTAGGTCATTGTGACCTACTTTTGAAATTTATGGCTATATTTAAATATTTTGGGTACTATTTAGCTTAGAATCATCAAACTTTGTCAGTTGATGTATCTTAGGTTCTCAAAGTAGGTCGACTTAAAAGCAGGTTACCGTGACCTACTTTTCAATTTATATGGTTATAAATAAATATTTCGGGTACTAATTGGCTTAGAATCATCTAACTTTGTCAGTTGGTGCATCTTTGGTCCTAGGAATAAGTCGACTGAAAAGTAGGTCACCTGACCTACTTTTGAAAATTTATGGCTTTAATTAAATATATTTCAGGTATTAATTGACTTAGAATCATCAAACTTTGTCAGTTGATGCATCTTGGGTCCTCGGAGTACAAGAACTGAAAAGTAGGTCACCGTGACCTACTTTTGAAATTTTATGGCTATTTTAAAATATTTTTGGGTACTATTTTGCTTAGAATCATCAAACTTTGTCAGTTGATGCATCTTGGGTCCTCGGATCTACTGAAAAGTAGGTCACCGTGACCTACTTTTCAATTTATGTGGCTATAATTTAATGTTCGGGTACGAATTGGCTTAGAATCATTAAACTTTTTCAGTTGATGCATCTTGGGTCCTCGAGTAAGTTGACTGAAAAGTAGGTCACCGTGACCTACTTTTTAAATTTTATGGCTTTATTTAAATATATCAGGCACTAATAACCTTAGAATCATCAAACTTTGTCAGTTGATGCATCTTTGGTTCTCGGAGTATGTCGACTTATATGTTGGTCATTCTGACCTACTTTTGGAATTTTATGGCTATATTTAAATATTTTCGGGTACTAATTTGCTTAGAGTCATCAAACTTTGTTGGTTGATGCATCTTGGGTGCTTGGAGTACGTCGACTGAAAAGTAGGTCACTTTGACCTGATCAAATATTTTTCAGGTACTAATTGGCTTAGAATCATCAAATTTGTCAGTTGATGCATCTTGGGTCCTCAAAGTATATCAACTGAAAAGTAAGTCACTGTGACCTACTTTTTAAATTTTATGGTTATATTTATATATTTCGGGTACTAATCGGCTTAGAATCATCAAACTTTGTAAGTTGTTGCATCTTGGGTCCTCGGAGTATGTCAACTGAAAAGCAGCGCTAGGACAATATGACCTACTTTTGAAATTTTATGGCTTTATATAAATATTTCAGGTACTATTTGGCTTAGAATTATCGAACTTATAGTTAGTTGATGCGTCTTGGGTCCTCGGAGAATGACAAGTGATAAGGAGGTTACCATGACCTACTCTCAGGTACTAATTGGCTTAGAATCATCTTGGGTTCTCAGAGTGTTTTATCTAAAATGTAGGTCATGATGACCTACCTTTGGAATTTCAAGGCTTTATCTAAATATACAGGATACTTAGAGGCTTCAAATAGAAGTGATATGTTGTACAATTTATCAGAAGAGCGATTCAAGGCCCTTGGGCCTCTTGTTTTTCGTTTGTTTGTTTGTTTCTTTTTTTTTTTTTTTTTTTTGCTTGTGAGATTATTTTCGGAAGTTGGATCCCCCCTTTTTGAACGGCATTTTTCCCCCAGATTTTTGGGGAGGTTGGCCACCACTTTTGAAACAGTTGTTTCGGATCAGACACTAATACATTCCATTGAGAATATTTTTAATTATTTCTTTTCAATGAAAGCATCTCACGCAGTTTTGGAAGTTTATTCATACATGATCCTCGCTTGTCTAATATACTAGTACCTATATCCAGTACACAGCGATAGATGTCGACCATAGAGGTAATGCGTGTGTGTGTGTGTTTTCGATTTTTTTTTCTTCAGAAATATCCTTCTATGTTATAATTTTTTCTAAAATGAAATATTAATATATACGTCTTTGTTCTAATGGTATAAAGAAGGAATGTTGTGGTGAACTTTTGATATCATCCGTATACATTTACAAATAAAAACAAGCCTACAGAATCACTCGATCTTCACAAATAAGGACAAGCTTAAATAGAATCACTCGATCTTCAGTAGTGAAAACAAAATACAATATTTTGGGAAGGTTCGACGGCACATCAATATACCAAAATCATGAAAATTATACATCCCTGAACCTTAATGTCGAAATTTGGCTTCGGGTTGCTTAAAAAAAGCTTGAATTTCGATAACGAGAAAATGGATCTTTCTTACTATAATCCCAAATGAAGCTGTTTATTACATATATCGTATTTGAAAAGTTTTCCTCGTGTCTTTTTCTGTTTCACGTTATTATGCATGTTTGTTTGTTTATTTTTTTTTTTTGTGAACCTTCCTCAGAAAAAAAAATGAATGAATGAATAAATGAATGGATGAATGTATAAATGCTTATTTGTTAAAAAGGACCTACCTTGATAACTCAGCTTCCATGAAATTGAAAAGGTCTCTGAGGGACTCGGATATAAGTGTGATGTCCTTAATAAAGATAATCTCCCCTTGAATAAGACCAATCTGTCGCTCATTTTCCACCAAAACTTGTGTGGCTCTGTGTAGTTTCTTCACTTTAGATCGGGTCTGAAGAAAAAAAAAACTTTTGATAAAAGAAATTCTCAGTCTACCTAGCATTGAATGACTTGAAAGAAAAACAACTAGCTGTTGATGAAATGCCACTGGATTATTTTAATGTACCCTTACACGGATCATGTTACGGTTATTTATGCTTAACAATTTCAGAGTTGTCCTTCCTTGCATTCACTTATATTTGTCAACTCTTGAATTAAAAAAAAAAATAAGACGTAAATTTGACAATAAAGTAAACTGTCAACAAGCCCGGTCTTTAATCAATGCTGTATAATATATAATCCAAAAATACAACGAACCGGTCGATTCTCCAGCGATTCTATCAAGCCCAGAACGTTCTCTTCTCGTTTCTTTTTTCTTGCCATTTTTTCCGATATTTTCTTTTCCAAAAAGTTGTTTGTTAGAATTCCGAGCTGTGACTCTAATTCTTTGCATCTATTTGTAAAACCTAAGAGGAAATATTAACATATAAACAAGCAGCTATAGTCTAAATATAAACATATACACATATATTATTTGTACAAATGCTAAACAGTTTTATAAATATCTCCCCTCAACAGAGGGTTAGTGCGCGTGAAGCGGCGATTGTAACGTCACAAACGACGATTTTGACCAGAACATGCAGGGAAAAAAACTCTCACGAACCTATCGGAAAATTATTGTTCAAACACACCAATGAAAAATGATGTCCAGCATACAAGAAAAGGAAAACACGAAAGTTATGTGTCAGCTTGGCATTTCAGACTCCTCTGCGACAGAAGTTCGTTGATGAAAATTCTGTCGTTATGTAATGGAGGTTTCTATGTTTATTTTAATTCAATACCGGACTTAATGACGACTTTTTCGATGGCTAACATGGTTTGAAATTCACCAGAAAAATATTAAAATTGACTTCACATCAGACGAAATTAGTATTTTTCTAGTGAATATCAAACAATATTAAGCGTATAAACAGTTCATAATTGCATATTATTCATAAAAATATATATTCATCAAGGGAAATTAGATATTTAAAAAAAATGGACTGATATCAACCCCCAAACATGAAAGATATCATTTTGATTAAAAAAATTAATGAAAAGAATTTAAATATATACCGGTATGAATGCGGTTATTTAAAAAAATCATTCTTTAAAAAGAAATTGAAAAAGTTAAACCTCTCCAAATATCCACATCATTTAAATCAAACACAAGGGATCCTGACATGGTGAAGAGAATGACGTCAATAATAGAATGGAGCAGTCCAATGATGGTCTTCACGTGCAGCAACTGATGAGATTCTGTTACCGTGTGGCTCACCTCCAAACTCTGCTTAATCTGATCCCTAACACCGACTTCATCGTCGTCTTTCCTCGAGTGCCTCCTTCTCTCTTTTCTTGTGAAACCCCTATCTGTAAATCTCTCCCTTTTTGTAAACTTCCGTTCATCTGCTTGATCTTTTTTCGTAGACTTCCTGTTGTCTGATCCTTCCTCTTTTGTAAACTTTCTCTTCTCAGACGGTTCTGTTCCTTTAAATTTCTTTGTCTCTATTGGTTTGAACGTTTCGTCTGACAGTCCAGAGTCTTCAAAAGTCAAGTCAGATTGTATTGCCTTTTTAATATGTTTTAAAACCAAGTCGTTAAAAGCCTGAATTCCCCGACAGAACACGCTAAATTCAACGTCTTTATGGTGTAATTGGTTTCTCGTTAACTTAATCCATTGAGAATTCAGTTGTTTTAAGAATTCTTCTTCGCTCTGTTTTTCGAATTTCCTTAGTAAATTTCCACTATGTTTGTGATATTGATGACAAAAATTGCACGGCTGCTGAGAAAAATTATCAGGCGAACAAGAAAAATTGACAGAAAAATCCTTGTCCAGTTGTGTGTCTCTGATTGGCCATCCTGAATTACTGAAATCCCCAGATGAAGCCTGTAAAATTTGTCGTTGTTGTAGATTATCAACTGACGAAAGATTCATTTCTTTGTCACGGGCGAATGTCTTGACAACTGTATTATAAACGAATATTTAGCGTCAAAATCATTGAAGTAGATGACGTCATAATGAGTTTTTCTTCATCTGAAATGAAATGATCCTCTCTTATAATTATATTTATATTTACTCATAGCTATTTTTACTTATAGTAGACTTTGCATATATATATATATATATATATATATATATATATATATATATATATATATATATATATATATATATATATATATATAATTAATATATATATATATATATATATATATATATATATATATATATATATATATATAATGTCCCAATTTCATGTATTTTCATTGCAATTATAACCCAATCGAACCAAAAAAAAAAAAAAAAAACTTATTACAGTTCATCAGAGAATATTTTGATATGGTACTTTATATAGGCGATAGATCTGAGAAGAGTATAATGGCAATTCTTTTCTTTAACATACTACAGTGAAGCGCATTGAAGAGGTAAAATTTTCCGTTTGAATGAAATGTTTTTCTCCTGGTTATGACTGTACCTATGTCCTCCTGTTTTGCATCTCCTTAGCAGTTCTTCATTGGCGACCTATTCGGAGGGTTTTACGAAGACATGTCGTGTGGAATGAGCATACGTACCGTAGCAGGTAAGATCTCGACATATCAAGATCTAAATGAAGACACACTCCCCTCTTACATACTGATGATAGTATGCCTTCTCGGGCAAGCTCGGAAAAAACACCTCGACGTTGTTTTTACGCTTGCCGAAAAGGCCCGAGAAATGACGATTGTGTACGGAGTGTATTTGTTTTGTAAATCTAAAACTATAGTATTATCGGTGGCATACCTTAAAATACAGAATGCAAATGAAAGAGAGAGAAAAATACAATATTTCTATAAATGTAATGTACATGTATGTAAATATGTTTAAATATGAAACATACTACATGTATCTTTATCTATATTTAGTACTTTTGGATCGCTTCGTGGTATATATTGTTGAACTGCACTTTGCACTAGGATACACGGCAGCAATTACCACACAAAAAGTGTTACGCTTACTCACATATACATGTACAAAATATGTTTCGAATGTATTTATTTCAAACATTATGTCTGTGCTTGTTTCTGAGTGTATCAATCATATCTGTTGTTTGTGATGCCTAAAAATGTCCTGAATCCTACAATGTGCACACACAGGTCAGTGCTACCACATTAACAGTTTTGGCTTGATGACGAACGCTGAATGCTATATTCTCAACCTGTTAAACCGATCCCGATCGGGTTCTAGTTGAAATCTCTGACAGACAGACAAAGAGATTTGAAGAGTTCACCTACTATAGCTCAGAAGTTAAAGTCAAATATTAAAGACAGATTTAAGGACAAGACAGGACAATACATTATTTTCCCAATCTTTATTGTTTTGTTTCTTTTCTTTCATAATTCATAGGTATCCGCTCGGTGTGGATTTCCTAAATATTTTTATTTAATTATAAAATACAATCTATCATTAAGTCTTATGCTGACTGATGTTTTTCATACTAATTGTTGGGCAATTATTTACACACTGAATTGCCGACGAATTTTTCCGTTAATTACCGATCATGACAAGGAGCACACGACGGGTGTGACCTGTCGGCTGGGGATGCTCACTCCTTCATGGCACCTGATCCCACCTCTGATGTTTTTGTAGGCCCTTCTTTGCTCTGCTCCCGATCTGTATTGTTTTAATGGACTTTGAGCTTGAATACTGTGCGTTATCTCCATATTTCATTATATCTCCTCCAATTAAAAAAATGCAGATATAGGGGTAAGTTGACACAGTGGATACTTAGTTATTACTCACTTTTCTTGACTCTTGATTGATTGTTGTACTTTTTCTTTTATCTCACATGAGACGTCATCAGATGTCGGTAAAGGGCTTCAACTTTGGGTCTTTATTTGGCACTTAGGGCCCATTGAGCAGTGAGGGATATTTAGCGTGCCAGCGTATGCCGTGTCATGGAACCTCGGCCTTTTTAGGCCTCATCCAATGCCCAAATGTCAAAAGTTGTTCCTTTTGGATGTGTTAATAATTTTAAAAAATCCCACATATGTGGCCTGTATTTTATTCTGCAACGGACTTCCTCCGCTTAGTTCAACATAAATCAACGATGACAGAACATAGAGTGGTCTCAGAGTCAGTGCACATATTTCAAATTTGACAATAATTATATAAAATTCTGACTTACCTCTAAACCTGAGGCATCAGACCATCGGGCACACGTTAACAAGATCATTGACCTTAAAATTTCAGTATACTTGTATCCAAACTCAGTTACAAACTAGTTTTAGCACACGAGACAATCGGTGAGAATCCATCCATTACTAGGATATCGGCCATCCAATCATTTTAATTAAAGGTCATTTGTATATTCAGAATTAAACCAAAGTAATTTTTGTTATAAGTAATGTATTTTTATGCTATTTTGAATTTTGGTCTTGGTGATTCTGTTTTTTTGTATTGTATTATTGGCCTGTTTTTAATTTAGTTCATATGATTTCGTTCAAAGTACATGAATATATACATGCATCAATTATTGGCTTATTCAAAATTTTGGTCTTGATAATTTTGTAGAAAGTAATTGCCTTATTGGCTCGATCAGAATTTTGGTTTTGATAATTTTGTTGAAGGAACAGGTAAATGCATTATTGACTTATTCAGAATATCGTTCTTGATAATTTTATTGTAAGTATATGCATTACTGACTTATTTAGAATTTAGGTCATGATGATTTTGTTGTAGGTTTATGTATAATTGGCCAATTTAGAATTTAGGTCATGATGATTTTGTTGTAGGTTTATGTATAATTGGCCAATTTAGAATTTAGGTCATGATGATTTTGTTGTAGGTTTATGTATAATTGGCCTATTTAGAATTTAGGTTCTGATGATTTTGCTGTTAGTATATTTATTATAATATAGCCCATTTAAAAATCAGATCATGAGATGATTTAAGTATATGTGTTATTGACCTATTCAGAATTAAGAATATGATTACTGTAGATTTTCGCGAGTTCTTGATAGTGAAATGACTCGACAAAATCAAACCACGAGAACATGAATTTTCTAATGGACTGATGAGAAAGGCGTTTTACATATTTTTAAGCAATGTGAATATAAAAGCTAGTATTTCTATTTCGCGAGTGGTGGTTCTCGCTAAATTACACAATTAATAAATTGCCCGACCTTTTGAATAAAAACTAAGTTGTTGAAGAATATTATTCATGTTTCAACGTACTTACACATGTATTCTAATAATCCCAAATTTGACTAGAAAATAATACTACAGCCTCAGATGGGTGTTAAACAAGAGGTCCATGAGCCACTTCGCTCACCTGAGCACTTTGGCTAGGGAAAAGCAGTTATAAATCAGTTCAGTATTGAAAAGTTTGAATATATAAGTGGTCCCAGCCTAACCCCCGGAAGGATATGGGGGTGTCCATGATTTGAACAAACTTGAATCTTCATTGACTGAGCTTGCTTCCATATTTCTTCGACTAACCATGGCTTTAGCAGATTTATAGTTTTTTTCTCCTATATGATTGATCGTTTTTTGTGGACCCGCCCTACACCCAGGGGTGATTTGAACAAAATTGAATCTACACTACCTGAGGATACTTTCAAATTAATATGACTATGGCTCTTCTTGAGAAAAAAAAACAACAAATTTTCTTATATGTTTCTTTGTATAACTTTGATCCGGTGTTTAGGCCCCTCCCAACCCCTGGGGATTACGATTGAACAAATCTGAGTCTACATTACCTGTAATGTTTCTATATTTTTATGACTAATCATTGCTTTACTGTTCTTAAGATTTTTCCTTATATATTCCAATGTATAACTTGAACCCTGCTGTGGCCTACCCTACCCCCAGGGGTTATGATTAAAAAAAAAATGAATGTACACTACTTGAGGTTGGCTCTGTATTAATTGACTAATCATGGCTTTGCTGTTCTTGAGAAGATTTTAATTTAAAGATTTTAGGTCATCTGAATTACTCAAACTATCATAATTATTATGAACAAGGATGTCTCTTCCAAAATTGCGAATTTCATGACCCCTGGGTCAAGGATTCTTGTGTTAGGAATGGGCTCTTTTGATTCTTTAATGAAAATGCATTTATTCTCTGAAAATCTTCTTTTCTGCTCTGGGTATTTATCAGATGAACTAAGTACATGATTAAGATGAGCAAGGGTGCTTCTTCCAATATTGTAAATTTCATGGCCCCTGTGTCAGGGGTACTGGTGTTAGGGTGGGACTCTATTTCTGCCCCTGGGTATTAAGCAAACAAATTTAGCATAAAGTTATAATGAGCAAGCGTGCCTCTTTTAAAATTATGAATTTCATGGCCCCTTTCTCAGGGATTCTCGTGTAAGGGTGAGGCTCTATAGATTATTTACTGAAAATGCTTTAATTCTTTGAAAATCCTCTAATCTGCTTCTGGGTATTTAGCAGATGAACTAAGTACATGGTTATGATGAGCAAGGGTTCCTGTTCCAAAATTGTGATATTTATTTCTTAGCCCTGAGTCAGAGGTTTTGGGTGGGACTCTTTTGATAATATAATAGTAAAAATTCATCAATTCTTTGACACGTATGCCTCTTCCAAAATTGTGAGATTCATTTCTTAACCCCTGACTCTGGGATGTAGTGTTAGGGTGGGATTCTACTAAGTGTATAGTGAAAATTCATCAATTCTTTAAAAATCTTCTTTTCTGTTCCTGGACATTTAGCAGATAAACTAGTGCGTTGTTATGGTGAATAAGAGTGCCTCTTATACAAGATTGTGAAATTCGTGGTCCCTGGGTCAGGGATTCTGGTAGTGTGCGGCTATCTGGTTTATATATAGAAAATGCACTAATGCTTTGAAAATTCTTTCTGTTCATGGATATCTATAGGAGGCAATTAGAGTACAAAGTTGTAATGAGCAAGGATATTTTTACCAGATTTGTGAAAATCTTGACCACTTGGTCAAATGTTTGGGTGCTGGCTAGGGCTTTATTGATTTTTACTTGCTATTCACCTATGATACTAAATACATGTAGTAAATAATGGAATTGAAAGCTTATTTAAATAAAAAGAATATTACAAGATTTTTTTGTATAATACAACAAGAGGCCCATGGGCCACAATGCTCACCTGAGCACACTGGCTAGGAAGAAGGGGGATGAACTTTAATTTATAATACCTCAGGATGCTTCCATATCAATATTACTCATCACGGCTTTGTTGTTTGTTGTTCTTAAACAAAGGAATTTTAAAGATTTTTTTTTTGTGTTTTCCTATGAAAAACTCTGATCTCTCATTGTGACCCCACCCTACCCACCCTAAATTTGACAAAATTTGAATCTACACTACTTGAGGATTCTTCTATGATAATATGACTAATGATGGTTTTGCTGTTCTTGAGTTGAAGATTTTTTCAAGTTGATTCCTCTATATTCTTATGCAAAACTATGACCATCATTTGTGACCCCCAACCCCTGGGGTCATAATTTGAACAAAATTGATTCAACAATACCAAAGACTGCTTCTGTATAAATATGACTAATAATGGCTTATTTGTTCTTGAGAAGATTTTAAAGATATTTCCTATGTAACGTGTATGATCTGTTTCTTACAATAAAAGATACCACAGAGTCTGACACATCTGCTTCATATTTGGATATTTTACTAGAAAAAGACGTTAATGGTAATCTAACAGCAAAGCTCTATGATAAACGTGATGACTAACTTTTCAGTCGTCAACTTCCCTTATTTATGCAGCAATATGCCCTTATCACCTGTATATGGGGTTTTATCTCTCAGTTGATTCGATACGCAAGAGCATGCTCTACGTATTAAGATTTTTCTAAAACGAGGTAAGTTATTGACAAACAAGTTGATGAAACAAGAATCTCAACAGTCTCGTTTAATGTCATCATTTCGTAAGTTCTATGATCGATACAATGACCTTGTCAGCATATATATATTCGACCCCTATTGTGGCCCCGCCCTACCCCCCGGGGGTTATGATATGAACAAACTTGAATTTAGAATTTAGAGAATTTAGAACGAAGCTTTCACAAGTTTCATCTTTTCTTGCCCATTGTTTCATGAAAAAAAAAAAAAAGGTTTTTAAAAGATGCCAACACATTTTCACGAATTCTTAATTATCTCCCCTTAAAAGAGGGCGCGGCACTTCCTGTAAACAAACTTACACCCCCTTTTCCTAAGAATGCTTTGTGGCAGGTTTGGTTGAAATTGGTCCAGTGATTCTTGAGAAAAAAGTCGAAAATGTGTAATGTTAACAGCTGACAGACGACAGACGGACGCAGAACACTCTTTGATCAGAAAAGCTCACTTGATCCTTTGGCTCAGGTGAGCTAAAAAGTACTTTCATTGTTTTAAATAGTCGGAAAGACTTGTAAATAACAAGTAGATAAAAATGAGACAAAAATATCTTATTTTGGTACATTAAATGTTCTTCAAAAACCAAGAGAGGCCATTCTAAAGGGAATGTGTTGGGTTTACTAATAGTGCTTAAGCACTTTTGCCATCGTTAAGGCCCTTGGGCCTCTTGTTTCCTTTGCCATCAATTTTTCACTAATTCGTAATTATCTTCCCTTGGGAGAAAGCGTGGTCCTTCTTTTAAACAAAGTTAAATTTCCTTTACCCAAGGATACTTTGTGGCAAGATTGGTTGAGATTCGGACAGCTGTTCTTGAGAAGAAGTCTAAAATGGTAAAAGTTTACAGACGGACAGACAGACGAACGCCGGACAGAATGTTATCAGGAAGGCCTTTGGCTCTGTTGAACTTTTCGTTAGGATGGTCAGTTTTGCTGGAGTGAGCTTTGTATTGGTTATTGGTTAAAAATCAAAAGGGGAAAAGACACGTTTTCCTTCTTTACGAAAATTTAGAGGGGAACACAAACCGACACTGCCCCTTTTCTCTGAGCTAGAAAATATTATGGTTGATCAAAACACTAATATATTGCAAACAAGCATTTAATTTATTTAAGTAAAAATAAACATGATACAGTGTTGAAGTTTATTTCAACCAACCACACCCAACAGAGACCCATCTACGCAGGTCTGCGTCTGGTAGTTGAAGAAATCAAGTGAGCCGTCCGCCTCCGGAGCGCAGCTCATTGGACAATACATTCTTCCGGTGAGGTCACATTGGATGTAATGGTGACGATCTCCAGCAATAGCGTGGAACAATCTCCCAGAGTTTATCTTGGAGTGAGAGCAAGGAGGAGAGAAACGAGGACAGGTCGGACAACAGAGAAAGCCATTTACTTCATCACCGCCATAATGACTGGAGACGCCGGGGCGAATGATAGACGGAGAGCTCGGCACAGGTTGTCCAACGGAATCGGGAGTAATGCAGGTTAATATGTTCTGATCCCATACCTCTCCTCCCGGACAACTTAAGGCCCATGCCTTGCCCCAGACGTCGCAGTGGATGAACTTTGTGTTGTCAGAAGGGTAAACAAAGAAGAATTTACCTGCTTGTAAATTTGCAAGCGTGCATGGACTTCCTGAAGAATCGACAGTTGTTTTGTTGCCAGTGACACAGGAAGTTGAGTTACCTACACATTGTTGGCAAGACTGGTAATAAGACTCGTACTGTGGACACTGTACAATATAGAGTTTTCCGGAAAGGTCACACATCAGGTATTTTGTGGAATCTGTTGGATGTGGGAACTGAAGGAGCCCCTTTTCAATATTTTCCGGGGTGCAAGGATTTGGGAAATTCCATTTTTCTAAAATTAAATAGAAAATGTAATCTATGCTGATTCATATAACCAAGGATATTTCTCTCCAAAATGCATCGGTATGAAATCAGAATAAGTAATACCTTTACAATTGTCCGGACATTCAATTTTTATTCCATCGATGTAGCATTTCACGGCTATTGGGAAAAATAAGTTGAAAGATTAAATATAATCAGCTTCATTAGAATCAAGACATACCGATTCAAATTAGTGCGTATGAATTTCTTCCGCTTACTGTGATCTGTGTGGTCTCCATGGTAAGGAGTTATGGTGATGACACAGCCAGCACTGGAGCTGATCTGGTCCTTCAAGGCGTCGACGAGATTGATAAACAACGTCTGATCCCCGGAAGCGTTATGAAACACTGACGTAGGATTACCGGAAGTTACGTAATTGAGAGTCTCATAGTAACTCTGTCCAGGGTAAGGACTGTTGAAGGCCGTGTAAATGTTTCCATTACCACACGTAATATTTGTCTAAAAAGAAAGTCAAGAGATGTTTACACTTTATGTAACACACTTTTGGTTTAAAAATGGAACTAGAAAGGGAGTATTTCTGCTGGGCATGATTTTTAAAAATTTAAATGGACTCTGCATAAGAGTCTCTGGCTAAGTGATTTGAGTGATTTCTTTAAATGAGACAATCTTAATTTTGTCCTTTATTTTAACAAATTTGAATCATTTTTTTTTGTCTAAACCTGGACATAACCGGTAATTTCATTCTTATAATTCTATATAATTCAATATTACAATAAAATACAAGATAATTCTAAATAAGGTCATAATAATCTACTTTTAAGTCTTTACATCTTCTTCCTAAGAGTGATAAAATTTAATTATGATAAAGAAAAATTTTTATTATACGAAAAAGCATAGTAAAAAAGAAAGATTAAACATGCAAGTCAGGTATGTATAAAAAAAATACTTATATCTATATCACCATACCGACTTTAGTACGTACCTCAATTGTGACTCCAGGTCCTGAGGTCAAAACAGCTAGAGGCGGACACTTTTCAATGACACAGCTAAAGGTGCTGTTGATATAAACTGGGGCTAAAAGGGAAAAAAATCTTTATAATTAATTTACTTCCCAAAACAAGAAAAAGGTTCTGTGAAACAAAAAATGAATTCAAAGAAAACTTTACCCCGACATGAACTTTGAATAAGTTCCTCTTTCAGTGCTTTGATTTCGTCATACCCAGACACAGTGAACACATGTGTGCAAGATGGCGTCGTTGCCATGTAATTGAGTTCACTCTGGTCAATTCGACTTCCTACTCCGACAGAAAACATTATAATCCCATTCTTCTTGGCATTGTCGACAGCGTGTTGTGTGTTTAGCATGTCGTTTGATTGTCCATCAGTGATAACAATGACGACTTTTGCAGCATTCGGCCTACTGCTCGTAAATACATTATTAACTGCCGCTTGTAGAGCACCTGCTGTGTTCGTAGATCCAGGTCGAAAAGGCAAATTTTGTATTGCATTCTTTAGGGATGTTTTAGATGTGTATGAAGGTAAGGAAAATTCAATATGAGGGTTATTGGAGTAAGTGATAACTGAGACGCGTGTTTTATCGGAGGCAATATTAAAAGCATCAACAAGGTTTGTCATGAAATATTTTGCTCTTATGAAGTCATCCTGTGATAAGCTGTTTGAACTATCCACTAATAAAACTAATTCAAGAGCTTCGTTTCCATGGCAACCTAAAATTAAAAATGTCACTGGTTAGATATGCACACTTCTAGTCTGTAATAGAGGACTCATATACTCACATTCCTAGTACGTACTAGATGACTCATACGGCGATAAATTAACGTATTGGAGTGTCCAACTTAGACAGTTTTGTTTTTGATCATTTACTTCAATAATTGGGAGGAAAACCCATATTTGTAATCTTGAAATATCTGTGAAATAGTGGAAAAAAGCTTCAAAGTTAAAGTTGTGACTCGCCACAAGGGGATTTAGCTTGATGAAGTCATAGATATAGATGTGCGACTGAGCCTATGAGCATAGAGTACAGAGTACCGGGATACAGAAGTTAATTGTTTCTTGCCATTTGCTTCTTAAAAATCTCACCTTGATCAAGAAGCTGTGCCTGAACAGTGAAATTGTTTCCTCCAAAACTGTGAAAATAATTTTCATATGTGTTTCCTTGTTCTTCTATCCTCCATCCTACTCCACCGTGTAAGATGGTATAAAGAGCAGCAGCAATACCAGAGTACAGCGGTTTTCGTAGATCCTGCCAAGCAACGTTACGCCAGTCGATTCCGAATTTGTTTAAAATGATATTTCTCTGGGCTTGTAGAGATGAAGAAGTTTGTGTTTGCCGAAATTTGTTTTCATCTATCTGCAAAAATGAATGCATGCTAGTGACGGATTAATCCACCAAAGTTCAATGAAGAGACCTAAACAATTGGAATAACTTTATTAAAAGAAATGTAAATTGAACCAGTTCAACAAACCTGCCAGATTCCTCCATGATAGTAGCTTCTGCTATAAGTCTTAGTGTCTGTTCCATCTCTTGACTGTACGTAAGCCAAACGACGGAGAAAACGCTTGTCGTCTGCAAAAAGACAGGATTCTCTGATGCGACTGACCACCGATTCGACTACAGACGATCCAAAGGCCCCCGGTTGTAGGGTTTGGTCGACAGCCAAACACCCAGCAATGGCTACCAAAATGCAGAGAAGCCCGAGCACACCCGACATTTTGCAGCGACTGATCCTGTTATCTACAAGCAGGTATCATCCTGGTCAACCTTTTTATGAGAGACTAAATATGAAGTTGAAATTGTTCTGTTGTCACATTGTATATGAGACACAGATAGTTTTTCGGAATCAATGACAGTAAACACTCAGGTTTATCGCATATCCTGTTGTTTGTTCTTCCTATAATACTAACGCTTATCAGAAAATGATAAAAATATTTAAAGATTTAGTCAGGAAAATATTGTTCCTGGTTCTTGGTAATCGTACATCATCAGATCGTACGCATTACTGCTGAAAAATCGGCTGAAAAATTTATGTCTTCCTACAAATGAAAAATACAGGAAAATAAAATCTTCAAAAACGTTTTCAATTAACATGCACTTAAAGGCTGAAGAGAAAAAAAATGGTCCTCTTCAATAGGTAGCGCTCTCATTCAACAAATTTCCTAAGCATAAATAATACATGCATGTATTTTACCTACATGAAATACATCCTTTCTACTAATCATACTGCGCGAATTTTTCATTTAATCCTTGTATTGAGAAAAAAATAATATTCACTGTGCATTGTCGTTTTTCTGTATTTATTCCTTCAAAATATTTTAATATTTTTTATATAATCAAAGGTAATTAGATAAAAACTCTTTTTACTGATCTACAGACATATCGTTAAACAATATTTTATTCCCCACCCCAAAGTAGTCTTTGAAACATTTAAACACATCATGAATTTCCCTGCTCTGTATTCTTTTGTTTGTGTTGGTATACCGGTATGTATACATGTAATAAACACATTTTACTGCTAAGCCTCAGGACATAGTTACTGTCTTAGAGACTATACACATACTTGTAATGCAGCTGCTGGTCAGTGCTCTTCCTCTGCTTATATTGGAAATGGCTGCTAGAAACGGTTTTGACTAGATAGACCAAACATTGTGTATTTAAGAATATAATAACATTTGATCTCAGGACCTGTTAAACCTTAATTTTGTATTAGTTTGGTCATGTAACATCGAAACAGGAAGATCCCCTATTCCAAACATATTTGAAATCCCTATTATAAGGGAAAAAATATAGTTATTTTACCAAAATAAGATAGATTGCCAAACATAACTAAGTGTATTTCTTGGCAATTGGGGGTCATTTATGTCGGAGGAAGAAGGGAAATCCCCAGGACTATTCTCCTTTTCTGATAACTACTGGTAATGTTCTTAATCAATGGCGCATAATAACTTGTGTCCAGGAAAAGCTTATTAAAAGACTGTTATAGTTTTTATTCTGTCATCTTTCACAGGTTTATCGATTGTATTTATGAAAATCATTCTACATGTAGCTTGCGCCTTCCCAAGACGCCTGCTATTGTTTCATGAAAAACAAAGAAAACGTCTTCAACATCACACGTACTAGATAAAAAATACTGATACTTTGTTCATTAACAGCCTTGTACATGTACTTCTTAGTTAAAGATGATGTTATTTTTCCTTTATATCACAAAATAAATATTTCAGTGATGTATTTACATTCTTCATTTATCAAATATTTATTACACATCCATTTCAATCTCTCACTTCTAATTTATACATTCTACTTTTGTCCGTTTTACGCATACGTGACCTGCGCAATATTCTAATATATAATTCCATTAAATGTGAAGATAACGATAAATAATTCACTTGACTCAAAAGTTCAATTAAACGCATCAAATTTAGAGCAAGGCAAACGAGGACCTCTGAAAACATCAAAAGACATGGACTGGAGTAAGCATCGCTTGTCGACCGGTCACGTCCGCCGTATGCCCAAGTCTTGATCGGGTAAACGGAGTAATCGTAGACAATTCAATAAGATGGCCTCACAATTTGTATTAAAAATGTCTATTAACATTGGAGCTTAGGACATATTTTAATGAAATGTGAAGATAACTAACACAATCATGCACAAAAATTCAATTAAACACTACATTTAGAGCAAAAAACAAACAAACAAACAAACAAAAGGAACAAACAAACAAAAAAAATTGGTTGAAATTGGTCGAGCGTTTTCAGAGAAGGAGCTGAAAATGTTCAAATGTTAAGACACAACGCTCGACGCCGGACGAAAACAGATAGCAATAGGTCACCTTAACAACCCCCCCCCCCCAAAAAAAAAAAAAAAAAACAAAAAACAAAAAAAACAAAACAGAACTTTGAAAACATCAGAGGTTGGATCAGGTGCCATGGTCCTGTCTACTGGCCACATCCGGGTAAACAGAGTAATCTGTAGATAATTCAGTATGAAACAATTTGTTTCAAGACACTTTAGTCGACGTTTAACCTGACGATAAGTTGTATTTGCAAACAAGGTCATTGAATCGACCATAGAATTTGCCAAAAGTTGACTTTAAAAGAGGTTGCTGATACCCTTGTATCACTTTCTTGTTTGTCAGCCTGACTAGGTTTATAAATCGCTCGTATGTAGAACATGCTCTTGCGTATCAAATCAACTAGGAGACAATCTCTATAATACGCAGGTGATAATGGTACATTGTTACATAAGTAAAGAAAGTTGACGATAGAAATGTTGAAGGCATCATGTTTATCATAAAGTTTCGGTGTTAGTTTGCCATCAGTGTCTTTCTCTTAAAATATCCAGATAAGAAGCAAATGTTGCAGACTCTGTGGTGTCTTTTATTTCGAGTTCAATGGGATATACCCAATCAACATAGGAATTAAAATTAATATAACTGTTAATTGTTAAAACGTCATTGATATATCTAAATGTATAATTGAAGGCCACAGCAAGAGACTTCTTTTCATGTAGAAATTTTAAAAATTATTCTGCTTCATAAGAATACAAAACAGGTCTGGTGATAACGGGGCACAATATTTACCCATGAGAATTCCAACAGATTGTTGGAAGACCTGGTCTCCAAGAGCTACATGGATATTGTCAATGGGAAACTGAAGCATCTTTTTAATATCTACCTCGGCGTACTTGTGTTTGGATACAAAGTTTTTTTTAACAAATAAATGTTCAGATGATCGATGGCAAGGTATGTAAATTTACGAGTTCCATTTTATTGAAAAAAAGGCAGCTTAACCATTTAACAAGAGATAACAATATTCAACTTTAACTCGTAATCCATTCTGACAAAAAGTCAAATCATAATTACATTTTCATTTATATTTTCAGTTCAAGCGTCGAATGGGGAATCGGGTCTGAATATTAAGTATAATTTACAGGTTCAAACGGAAACTGGAACAACTTCATAATTAATAATGGTGTCATACCGAAAAACATGTGGTTCAAGAGATAAGAGAAAACATATCCCCACAATAAATTCAAGGTCACAACAATCCATTCAAAAAGACGTTAGATGATGTATTTCATAGGTCGTTTGTTCAAAATGCTGTTAAGGAATGAAATTCGATAGAAAGTCATATCAGTCATTTTTTTTTTATCAAGGAGCACACAGCGGATGTGACCGGTGAACAGGGAATGTTTATTCCTCCATGGCACCTGATCTCATCTCTGATATTTTAAGTGATCCGTGTTTGCTCTGCTCCAAATTTGTATTGTTTCAATGGACTTTTGAGCTTGATTACTGTTCGTTATCTTTATGTTTCATTGGATTATATGTATATAATAATGCTTCAAAAGCATCATTTTATTTGGTGAATGTTTTTTTTTTTTTTTTTTTTTTTTTTTGCATATTTTTGGGGCAATGAAAACCTATCCTCTGAATTTAACAGTGGGACCGGATTTTTGCCACTGTTCACTTTGGAAGTGAGTCCCGTAGGTTTAAAAACAAAATATCTCTATGTTTATGGAATTGTTGTGCATAATAATCATTTATTTCTCCTTTAATGTTTCAGGAGAGGTGGTATTTAGTTGAAAGAATTTGTTTCCGATCTTACTGATAATATGAAAATAAAATGCATGTATGTTCAAATCAATGCAAGGTATTATTTTCAATTTAATAGTAAAGGTATCATTTTGTTAAACAAGGTTTGAAATTAATAAGAAGAGTCAGGCAAACTTTTATAAAACCTGCTACACCTATTGATTTCAACCCTTTTTTGAATTCTCTTTACCATTGGTAAAATTATTAGAGTTAACTATCTTACGGGATTTAACATGATTTTTGTTTGGGTATTTGTTTTTCTTTTATATCTTCCGGTCGCTGATTTGTTTTCTGCCAGAGGTTTGTTGTTTTTTTCTTCTTTTCAAAGCGTAAAATTCTTTTTAGCTTAATATGTGTGGTTATTCCAGATTAAAGAATCCTGCAGAGATGATGCCTTTACTCTTTGTACGAAATTGCTTTGAAATAAATAATATGTTTAAAATTTTGAGAGATATTGAAGAATAATTAAAGATGTTTGTACTTCCGGTAGACCCAGTCTTATCCACTTTTAATCTTAATAGGTTTCTAATTTTCTTCTTTGAAAGAAATTATGTGTACTATCTTTTTTTAAATAGATAAATCCTTTGATACTCATTTGACTAGAATGTTTTATGTTGTCTGTTATTTCTCTAACAAGATCATCCATTTTGTGAGAATCAGTCAATCACGTTCCGATTCATTGTCTCTAATTTACTGACAAGTGTGTTTTAAAATTTTTTTAAAAAAGTAAAACAAGATAAATTTTAGGGACAATAGGTATTGGGTGTTTATTATTATTGTTTTAAATATGTACAACTTTGTAAATACAAATGTACACTTAAACTCTAACTGTTTGATAGTAAAATGTGACAATATATTACTTTTGGAAGAAAAATTTATGGGGGTCCCTTTAGTGCAGAGCTCATATCATGAAAAATAATGCGTCAACATATAATTTTTTTGGCTTATTCTTTTCCTTAAATGTTACTTAGAAAAAGATAGCAAATTTTCGAAATTTGAGTCCATAAATTTAAAAAAAAAAATGACCGAGATTAACCTGTTAAGCATATTTTCTCATACTACATTTGAATACGTTAGCCTAATAAAGTGCACATACTTATAATAATTAAAGCAAAACATTGATTATATATG